AAAGTACACGTGGGAGAGGCTGCTGGGTTGTAGCGGATGAGACCCTGCTTTGGAAGCCTGTACCTCGATTCAGAGTCTCTGTGGCACTTCTAGCACAGCTTCCTTCCTGCTAATGTGCATGTAAGCAGGAAGCAGGTGACAGGCTAAGGGCCCGAGTCTGCTACCAACGTGGGGCACCCAGATGGAGTGCTGGGTTCTGGTTTTAGCCTTGCCCAACTCAGGCTGTTGCAAGCACATGGGGAGTGAGAGTCAATGGAGAAAGATGATATGACTCTCTTTCAAGCAAAAAGCCATATGCAAAACATTCTAAGCATGGACCAGGGTTGTAGCTTAGCAAACTGAACTGCTGCCCACAGCAACCAGCAACGACCATGGGCCTTGGTTTGGAGTGCTGCTGACCCTGCTTCCGACCCAACTCCCTGATAATGGGCCTGAGAAAGCAGTGACAGCCCAAGTGCACCTATGTGGGAGATCTGGAAGAAGCTCCTAGCTCCTGGTTCCAGCCTGGCTCAGCCTTGACAACTATGGCTAATTGGGAAGTTAATAGGTAGATGGAAGACTTCTCTTTCTCCATTTCTACTTTTCTTCCTCAAATAATAAATACATTTTAAAAAACAAAATAGCAGTAATGTGGTCTTATTTTAATATAGGCTATATGTAGACAATCTATACAAACATTTGTATAAAATATATTTGCATTCGCATTATTTCTCTTATGAAACTCAGGATTTTTGTCTAGGGTATAACAATGATACACTTAAAAATAATGTATTTTATATATGCAAAAGTGTATTATGTTCATATTTTTAGATATTTTCAGCAGAAAAAGATGGAAATATAAGAAATAACTCTTATTTTAAATATTCAGGATATCTGATAGCTTCATTTCATTCATAATTCATTTCTCATGGACTGTCAAGTTTGGGAACTTATTAACTTCCTATTTTCCACAAAAGCAGCTAAACCCAGTCCCTTGCTAAGAGTTCTAGAAAGGCAGCAGAAAGATGGACCACGTGTTTGGACTCATGCCAAAACCTTGAGAGACTCCTATGAAGCTCCTGGCTCTGGCCTGGCCACTACGGCCCTCTGGGGAGTGCGTCAGTTCATTGAGGACCTCTTTCTTTCTAACTTTGACCTTTAAATAAATAAAAAAACTTCAAAAATATATATGACTTATTTTAAGTGATCATCAGTAATGATCACTCTTACATCTGAACTATGATGCTTGTATGTCATCTCCTTCCCCCCAAAAAATAAAACTAAGGAGAAAAGATTGATTCCCCATCTAGGTCAGAAAATACATAAGATAAATTTCAAAAATGACTGGGTGATATCAAACACACAAGTACCAACCTAGAATGGGGTTCCTGATGATCAGGGCCCACTTAAATGTCAAAATCATTAATGGGCTAAATCTTGCCAAAAAAAAAAAAAAAAAGAAAAAAAGAAAAGAAAAGAAAAGAAAATTCCCAATTTCGTAATGATACTACAAAACTCACTTCCTTCAGGCTGTATGGTAACTGTCTCTTCTAAAATGAATGGCTGAAGGAATAAAATGAGAAGTCAAACACTTCCACCTCCTCTGCAGGGGTTATGGTTCAGAGTCCCCAGGGCTGGCCTTGCAGTGTGGAGGTCATTTTCCACCTTCCAGGCCGGCGTCCTCCAGGAGCCCGGAAGCAGAACACGGCTCCTGCCGCCTACACAAGGAGGTGTAAGTGCATTTCCAGGCTCCTGGCCCAGCCCTGGACACTGTGGGGCGGTATTCCCACTCTGTAAACTCTGTGTGTGTGTGTAGAAAGAGGTGGGGTGGGGTGGGGGGGCAATCATGGACAATATGTACATGACCATTTCACATTCTCTAGCTTACATTAAGGACTACCTACACAGCTATCAGAGGATCAGATGAAAGATGGATAACTTTATACTCATCAGCTACTATAGGGTGGCAACACTTGAGCTCATCAATCCTCAATCACCAGAGGTATGACAAACAACAGTGTTTCCTGGCTGATCAGGAACAACAGAGTAATCCATTATTGCCCTAAAACATTCAGTTTTTACCTATCAATTTTCTAGGAAAAATGAAAGAACAAAAGATACATAAGGCTACCTTTTCCTTGATCATAGATCAATATTCAGAGAAGAGGATGTTATCATTATTACACTGTATTTTTTTTTAACACTTTTCTATTCATTTGATAAGCAAAGCAACAAATAGGGAGGAGAAAAAATCTTCTATCCATTGGTTCACTTCCCAAAAGGCTACAATATTTAACCTTGGTCAGGAGCACAGAACTGCATCTAGGATTCTCAACTGGGTTCAAGGATGCATGCACTTGAGCCATCACCTTCTGCTCCGAGGATGTGTGGCGATAGGAAGCTAGATGAGGAACACCACACAACTAGGACTCAACCAAACATTCCACATCACAAGCAACACCAAGTCCTGTGTTGTAACACTTGCACTCCCAAATGTTCTTATGAGCACAAGACATGACACGGCAGACAATTCACATCACACTCACTTGCTACTTGATTGGGGACAACGGATTGGGGACAACTATGTCATAGTTTCTTCACCAGTAAAATGAGAAAAATTCGTTATCCTTACGAGTGCATTTTAAATTTAAGTAACCTTTATCTGAAATGTTTAGGAATAAAAGTGTTGCATGTTTGCTTGAATTCTGGAATAACTGCATTTAAAAAATTTCACCAAAAATGTAGACTGTAAAAAAGCTTATATGAACTTCAATGTTTTCTGTACCCAAATAATCCTGTATTTTATTTTTCATAAACTTTTTCAAGTACTGCTAATGTGTGCACATTAATTTGATGTTAAGTGTCCCACCAAGGCCCCAGGCACATGCTGAAAGGCTTAGATCTCAAAGTCTCATGTTAAGAGTATGGAGAGGGTGGAAGCAATTAGTTATGGGTTTCGAAGGGAGTTTTGAAAACTGAGGCAGTGCCTTGGGCTAAGAGCAAAGCCCTTGAGATTAGATGCTGAACACACACACATCCAGTCTTTCTCTTGCCATGTGTTGCTCTGCATCATCGGCATCACCAGATGCCAAAATAATGGGGTGTGTCCAGTTTTGGATTAGGAACCTCTGAAGCTGTCCGCTAGAATAAAGCTTTGCTATTGGTAAATCGTCCCAGGTAATGCTGCAGTAATGAAAGGCTGACCCCATACAGAATGCAATATATTGGGGAATAGGACTCAAGTCTAAGCAAAAAATTTAATTATATTTTATATGACCTTATCATAGCTCAGAGGCAATTTCATACATTATTTCAAAACTTATTTATAAAGAGTTTTTTTTTTTTTAATTTATCTGAAAGGCAGAGTTACAGAGAGAGAGAGCTCTTCCATCTGCTGGTTCCCTCCCCAAATGGCCACATGGCAGCTGGCTTGGGGGCTTGGACCTCCATCACTGATTCCCAGGAGGAATGGGTCCAAAGTGGAGCAGTTGGGACTGGAGTCAGGGCTCATCTGGGATGTTGGCATTGTAGGCAGCAGCTTGCTCCACTGTGCTAAAATGCTGTTTTTAGTGTGTGTGTATTTTGACTGAGCTCTATTATGTGAGGCTAAGAATAAGACATGTCCACTTATTATAATATATTGGTGTTCAAAAAGATCCAGATTCTGAAGCATTTTGGATTTCTAGTTTATAGTGATAACCAATCTAAACATGTTAAGTACTTAAAATAATATGTATGTATTTATGTTCAATAGTAACAGTATGGATTTTAATAAGTCCAAGAACAATAGCAATTTTGGTCAAAAATGCTATTCAAGAAGGGCGAGGGATCTCTAAAAAGAAATGTTGCTTGTACATAAAAACCAATGAGCTCAGAGTGTTACTGAGTTACTGTAGTATCCATTCCGCTAAACAGGTTCTAATCAAAGCTGAGCTCAGTGTTTCAAATAGGTTCAAAGCTGAACCTATTCCACTAAATAGGTTCTAATTAAATAAACAGACACTGCAATATTCACATAGCTTGTCAGGTTTAAGCCCTGCTCCTTTTACTCAGATACATACAAAATGATGTTCTTACCTTATCCAAAAGGTGTATTATCATTGGTACAAGATTGGCATCAATTACTGCCTGAACCTGTTGTTGATTTCCTGCAGTGATGTTAGAGAGGAACCACACTGCTTCCTATAAAACAAGAATCTTTCAGTATTTCTCATTAAAAAATAAAAACTGCAGCTGAAGAAAAAGGCATTTACCACAATGTCCACATTATTTTATCATGCAATCAATTCTCTAATAAAACTCTTAGGAATCTCACTTCCTTTTATGTTCCTCTTCCCTGTGTTTTGTTTGGGCAAACTGTTAATGGTGCTAATCTAATTACAATGAACCCTTGCAGAGAACGGTTGAAAGCACTACTCTCCAACAGTGTGGACAGAGTTTAGGCTGAACAATTACTGCAGAACTGATGAACTGTAATACAAACACAAATCCTGAAACTGCTGAGACTCAGTGCCTTTCCTGTACAGAATATACTTCATTTTCTATTCTGATTAAGAACCTTAGCCAAAGTACATAATCTCAATTTCTAAAAATGCATATATGAAAAATGAAACACTGTTTTTTTAACATACCTGTTCATAATAGTCATTTCCTGCACTATTTCTCTGAAATGCTAAAGAGGAACTTAAATGCTTGACCGCTTCATTGTTCACCTTAGTGACTGTTTTATCATCAGCCTTTATATCATGACAGTGCTACCTTGGCAAAGGTAATGATGACCCTAGGCATGTTACCAGTTTCACACATAAACCCATACTGAAGTGACAGCATGAAATAAGACAAAATATCTAATACTCAATGTAGGATTACACTGTAATTTACCAAACTTAGCACTAGTAAGCTTATTGAACTTAAAAGTTTAATTTCCTCTATTTTTTTAAAAAACAAATTCCTCTATTTTTAAAAACAAATTATAAAGTATTACTCCAAAAAGCAATATCAGCTGGTTACTGTAGGCTCTTTTGGATCAGATCACAGGGTCATGTTTGATGAACCTGTTAGAGACTTCAGGGTGTCAGGCTAGTTAGGTGAGCTGTTTTGGGGTCATAATCATTGGCAATGTTGTAATCAACAACCCCTGCAATTTCTACAACAGCCTCAGATGCACTCCAATATCAGCACCACCACATTCAGTGCCCCCTTTGCCCTAGCCGCCATGAGCACACACACAGGCACACTCTCTCTATTACGTATCTATAAAACTCTAAACTTGGAAGAATTACTTAACATTAATACTAACAATTTCCACTCATACATTCACCATACATACACTCAACACCCTGTTACCTCTATTTCATCATTTCCAAGAGAGCCACAGAGCATTTTAACAGCTGATTTGTTTTATACATAGAAAAAAATGATATGCTAATCCATCTTATAAACAACATGCTATTTTATTTCCTTTCCTCTCAGCATCTAAATGATAGGTTAATCCCAATTTTACAAATGAACTTGGTATTTTTATGTATCATTTACTAGAAAACACATGAAACCACTTACTTTATTAATTTTCTCTTTGGGATGCGTTAGGAGTGCTGGGAAGTGTGACAGAGCATCGCAGTTCAAGACCACCTGCGTCTGCTCGTCAGTTCCAGTAACAATGTTGCCCACAGCTCTAAGTGCAGCAGTCTGAAGCACAGAAAAGTTGAACAAGATCATGCTCTTGTATTCCTTACAGCTTACACAAGACAAATGCATTCTCCCACTGTTCCATTCTAGCTAGCCAATCCTTTCAGAGTACTCTGTGCCATGCACTCACCTAGGAACAGAGGTGAGAAAAGACTGAAGTCTCAGCTCCTATGAGGCATACACGTATGATAAGTCAGAAGGGTCATTTCTATGAAAACTTGTAAAAGTTTCAGTGTGGACATATGTTTTTAATTCTTTAGAAAAATATTTTAGAATTATCTTTAGAATAATATTCTTTTATTATCTTTAGAATAATATTCTTAGAATTATACTGAGAAGAAGAAACAATGATTCATACTGTAACTTTGTAATTAACAGTATCCAAAGTAATTACAGTATCCAAAGCAGCTGCATTCGCTTTTCTTTTTTAAATGATCCTATTAGACAGAGAACAGAGGCCTTTCATTTGCTGGTTCACTCCCCAAATGGCCACAACTGCCAGAGCTGAGTCTATCCAATCCATGTTGGATTAGCATACTACGCCACAGCACTGGGCACTCACTTTGCATTTTCAAGAGTTGTACATGAGGAATTCAATCTCTTCAATCCCTCGCTAGCTTCTCTTATTACATTATACTGTAGTAAACAGTATTATACCACAGCTTTGCTTTCTTTTTCCTTAGTGACTAATTAAGCATCTATTGATGGGCCTATTGATCACTTATATATATATTTTTTTTTTATGGAAAGCAAAAGCTTTTGCTGAATTTTGAATCTGACTTTCTTTTCAGTGTTGAGTTGTGGGAGTTCTTTATTCTGGATGTCAGTTCCTTTTCAGGTGTATGATTTACAAATTCTCTCTCTCCAGACTGGATCTTTAGTAACAAGGGGTGAGACGGACAGGGAGGAGAAACACACAAAAACATCTTTAATGTACCAGTCTGCTCCCCAGATGGCTGCACTATTCAATGCTGGGACAGGCATTAACTCTGTCCGGGTCTCCCATGGACTTGAGCTATCCTCTGCCCCCTGTATCTCCAGGAGTCAAGTATTTGCACGGGAATAAAATGGGACTGGGACCCAGGCACTCCAATACGGGATGCAGAAGCCCAAAATGGTGGCTTAACTTGCTGTGCCATGTCCACCCCTCATTTCACTTTCTCGACAGTGCCCTTTGAAGCACAGTTCCTAAGTTTGGTAAGAGCCCATTTTATTACTTTTTTTTTTTTTCAGTTGCTTGTGCTTATGGTGTCCTCTCAAAAACTGCTTAATCTTTCACAAAGATTTATGTTTATTTCTTCTCCTAAGAAACTTACAATTTAACTCTTAATCCATTTTGAGTTATTTTTTAAAAAATGGGTTGAGGTAGATTTCAACTTCATTATTTTACATGTGGATTTCCAGCAGTCCTGGCACATATCTCAAAGAAAACCAAAACTATCCAATCACCCAATTAACTAGGGTGGCACCATAGTTGCAAGTGAAGTGACCACAAATGAATGGGTTTATTCAAGAATTTTCCATTCTACTTCATTGATCTGAATGTCTATTACCATGCTAGTATCAGTTGTCTTACACCAGCTTTGTAGTAAGTTTTGAAGGCTAGAAATCTTCAAACCTCTTTGCTTTTTCAAGATTGTCCTGGTTCTTTCTGGTCCCTTGCATTCACATATGGATTTAAGTGCAGCTTGGAAATTTTGGAAAAACCACACCTGAGATTTTTAAAATTTAGCATGCATTTAATCTGCAGATAAACTTGGGGAGCAACGCCAACCTAACAATATTGTCTTCTAATCCCTGAACACGGGGTTGTCTTTAAATTTGTGCAGGTGTTTTAAAATTTCTTCAAACAATGTTTTGCAATGAATCAGCCTCTTTAATTAATACATTAAAGAGGAATAAAGCAAAGGAAAGTTGCTGAATATGAAAAACTTAACACATGGCAATCAGATGCAACATGTGGACTTTAGATACTGATTTTTATCAAATAGTTAAAATAATGAGGAAACAGTCACTAAAATTTGGGTTCTGGAGAATCAAGATGGCGGAATAGGGTAAGGACATGTTTAAATGGATGGAAAAATAGTTAATCAGGATGAAGCAGAGAGGACGTATTTCAGGAAGTACGAAAGGACAGAACAGCAGCAGAGGGGTACCTGGAGACTGACAGACACAGGAAAGCAGCAGACAAAGCAGTGTGGTGTTGCAGTGACTGACACTCCAGCAGCATTCAGCTAACGGTGATCTGAACTCCACCAGCAGCCAGGTGGGAAAGAACTTTCACTGGGAGCTTGCCAGGTGAACCCAGACAAAGTACTGTCCGTCCTGCTGGTCCGTTTGATTTGACCAGGAGCAGAGACAGAGCAGCAGATCTCAGACGGGCAGTGTGAGAACAGGGTGGGTTTCACAGCCCAGTCTGCCTCCTAACCCGAATCAGGCACCATTTTGTTTAAAGAGGCAAAGGCTATGGAGGCAGGACTGCACATGCACTGAGAAGGGAGTGAACTCATTTCTGGCTCAGTGAATTGCAACAACTTGGCATTCTACAGATTCCACCTGGGGCAGGTCTGGGTAGCCCTCAGATCTGATCAAGAACTGTAGTGGTGGTACGTCGGGTGCCATTTTGCACACTGTGGCAATAGCTTTGGGACTGCAGGGGACAACAGTGAACTGCGCATGTGCTGAACTCGTGAGAACTTACTGAGCTCTGTGGATTGCACTGGTCCTGCAGGAAAATAATACAGACTGTGGCATCGTACCCATTAAAATAGGTCCGTATGGCCAGACCAACAGGTTCCAACAAGATCAAGCGCCACCAACAACCTAACTAGATAGGACACGTGGTGTCTCTCTAATTCTGGAACCTGCTCCAACTGGAAGAGGGAGAAAGGCCACAGAGACAACAGTGCAGCCTCAGCATGGTATCACAGGAGGTGGAGAGTGGTGAGCCCAGAGTTGGGGCTGTGGAGACCATGGTGAAAATCTAACATAAGAACCCAGACCTGGAACTCGCTGGAGGTTGTGGCACAAGTGGCTGCAAGCAAAAAGTTGTGTACCAACAGCAATAACTAAAATCGCACTGTAGACCTGTGTGTGACATAGCTTAGAAACCTGCCCCAAGGAGAAGACTCTGCTAACCAGAAGTATAATGATCAAGAGCAAAAGAAGAGACAAAGGCACAATGAATATTACGGAAAACTCCCCTGCAAAGGAGCAAAGCCCTGTGCCAACCTCAGAGTTAACCGAGGAAGACATCGAGAAAAATGAGGGACACAGAATCCATAAGACTCATTTTAAAGATTCCGATCAAAAATGAGAAGCTCATGCAAGAGTTCAAAGAATTTAAGGAAGCAATAAAGCAAATCAAGGCTGACATATCAGAAATTAAGAACACAGTAGAGCAAATTAAAAGTAAAGTGGAGAGTCTCCAAAATAGAATGAAGCAAGCAAAAGAAAGAATCTCAGAATTGGAAGGTATTTCCTGTCACCAGGGGGAAGCAAACAAAAAACTGGAAGCAGAGCTGGATCAGGCCAAAGAAAGTATTCAAGAATTGAAAGACACTATTAAGAGGCCAAATGTAATAGTTATGGGAGTCCCAGAAGGTGCAGAAAGAGAAGCTGAGTTTGCAAATGTATTTAATGAAATACTAAAGGAAAATTTCCCTAATCTGGAGAAAGAACTGGGAAACAAAATCTAGGAGGGGCACAGGATTCCCAACAGGCTTGACCAAAAGTGATCTTCACCATAACATATGATTATCAAGCTCTCTTCAACTGAACATAAGGAAAAGATCCTTAAATGTGCACGTGAAAAACATCAATTGACATATAGAGAAATGCCAATTAAACTCACAGGAGATCTCTCACAGGAAACTCTACAGGCAAGAAGAGAATAGAGCAACATATTTAGATTCTAAAAGAAAAAATTGTCGGCCTAGGAAAATATATCCAGCAAAGCTTTCTTTCACTTTTGAAAATGAAATAAAATTCTTCCAGAGCAAAGAAAAGCTAAAAGAATTTGCCTCTTCCAAACCTGCACTACAAATGATACTTCAAGATATTCTCTTGACAGAGAAGAGAAATAGCACCTACCAAAACCAAAGGCAAAGGTGAAGAACATCCCAGTAAAATGACAACAGGAGACTAAACCAATGAACAACTCATTGCTAAAATGACAGGACCAAAGTACCACCCATACATATTAAACTCTGAAAGTAAATGGATTAAGCTCAAACATCATAGATTTGTAGACTGGATTAAAAAACCAAACCCATCTGTTTATTGTCTGGAGGAGACACACTTCAACAAAGATCAGTGGAAACTATATCACATGGGTTTTGTTGTTTTCTGTTGGTTTTATCTCTTCAAAACACTTCATTCTGATTAAATCATTCAATGACTCGTAGATCATGCAGTGGCATCATTTTCTTCAAGAAGGTTCTTGATTTTCATTTCTTCAGCTTCACGTTAGTCATTTAATAGCATGTTATTTAACTTCTTGGTGTTGGGCCTGACAGCTGGCCTAGTGGCTAAGGTCCTTGCCTTGAATGTGCCGGGATCCCATATGGTTGCTAGTTCTAATCTCGGCAGCTCCACTTCCTCTCTCTCTCTCCTCCTCTCTGTATATCTGACTTTGTAATAAAAATAAAATAAATCTTAAAAAAAAAATAACTTCTT